TACGCAGCGGCCCAGCCTCTGGGCTCAGGCTGACATTTCATCTGCCCAGAGCCGCTGCCCAGCTTCTAGCCCAGCACGGATGCTGTTTAGTCTCCCAAGTTGCTCACATGATTTCAGAGCGGTGTGGCCAGGTCTCCTGCGTTAGCTGGGGAGAGCAATGATACCAGGAAACGAAGGCGCTCACAACCCCGGAGAAAGTGACGTATCGAAAGCAAGTAGGAAAAAGCCCAATAAGAGAAGAAAGAAAGCCCAAAGCCACGGAATCTAAACAAGGAGAGCAGAAATCAACAATCTAAGTAAGAGAAAGAGATCTGGGAGCGCCATGAGCATTTTGGGTCCCGAGAAAGAAGATAAAGACGTCACTGATAACTCCTGGAACCCATGAAGGTTGGTGGAACCTCTAATAATTAAGACAGTGTTTTAGGTTTTCTCCCGAAGAAATCATTTATCAGTGCACATTTGCACTTCTGTTTGATGAGCTGAGATTTGAATTCAAATAAAAATCTTTATGAAGACTCAAAGGAAGCTGGGAAAATCCTCATTTCCCATCCTATTCTTTCCTGAGTGGCTTTTCTGGTTTTCATTCGGTGAGGAACAAGGTTGCAGAACGAGAATGATTATGGAGTTGCTTAGACCTGGGTTTCTTGGTGATGGGGTTACCTTGAGCCTTCTGGTAAGCTCCCCGAACTCCAGCTTCCTTACCCCGTGTGTGATTAAAGCCAGCCTTCACAAGGCCGATGTGAGCAAAGTCCTAAGCAACGCCTTGGTACACAAGAGAGCCTCAACTCTGCAAGAGCTGTCGTCTATCCTCATCTCATTTAAAAGAAAAGTCAAGAAGAAATATCACAAAATGGTCAAGGGCAAGGACAGACAAGAGAAATAGAAAATGCAGAAACAGGCCCACAAATAGAGGGTTACCTGATTTCTTTTTTTTAATGGTGCTGAGACAATCCAACTAATCCATGGTACTAGGACAATTGGACCTCATTGGCAAAATATAAATAATCCAAACGTGGCCCATACCTTGAACCATAAGCAAAAGTCAACTTGAAATGGATCCAAACCCCAAATTCACTGCCATTGAGTCAATTCTGACTCACCCGGACCCTATAGGACCGTCCAGAGTAGAACTGCCCCTGGGTTTCCGAGACTGTAACTCTTCACAGGGATAGAAAGCCTGGTCTTTCCCCCAAGGAGCAGCTGGTGGCTTTCAACTGCTGACTTGCACTTAACATTGTCCCACCAGGGCTCCTTTATATACAAGCTAAGATTATAGAACATCAAGGTGGAAAATAGAAGAAAATCTCCTTAACTTCATGTTAAACAAAGATTTCTTTATATAAGACACAAAAAGCACGAGCCATAAAATAACTGGATTCATTGGATTTCGTGAATATTAAGAATTTATTACTCGTCAAATGACACTGGTAAGACACTGGAAACGCAAGTCGCAGGCTAGGAGGAAATGCTGAATACTTCTTATACTTTCTAAGCGTTCTCTCCTGCCCCTAATTATTTCTGCCGTTATTCTCCTCAGAGGTACAATGCTGCTATGGAGTGAGGTTATGAGCTTGTAAACCTCACAACTTCAAGTCCATCCCTGGTATGAGAGAGAAGGGAAAGTAAAGCAGGGGAGGGTTGTTTTTATGAATTGTCTCCCTAAAGGGCTCAGCTACTAGCTCAAGGTCTGGTGTTTTGAACCCACCTTCAGGAGCCTCAGGTGACTGTCCCATCGTTCCTCTGCTTTGGAAAGGCTGCAACCTTGGAAACCCCATGGAGAAGTTTGACTGTGCACACATAGGGGCACCAGGAGTCAGAATAAACTCTATGCCAACCACCGCCAGCATCACCACCCCTCTACCTGGCCTTATACACCTCCAGGAGCACCCAGAAGCCTTTGGTACCAACAGAGGTCACACCGTGAAGCACACAGCTTGAGCATGCATCTTCCACCAGTCATGGAACTAAGGGCTTTACCAGGATCATGTCATGTATCCGCAGGACAGACTTCCATGGTTGGAGTCAGTAGTAAGAAGGGGTCAAAGGACATGAAGCAGGTCTCAGGCTGACTTTCATTGGGGCTGTTCCCTTCCATATTCTGGGATGGACTTTACTTTTCCCATGTCTCTGACCAGCCCTGCTCTCTGAACTCCTTCCACATTAGTCCCTGCTCCCATGTCTTCAGGTTTTAGTCTTGAGACTGCTGGCTCAAGTTGGAGATACGACTTGTTTGGAACTTCAGCTTCTGCTCGGTGTCCTGGTCTCTGGTTCACTTTCTTGCTCTTTACATCGGGTAGGTCCCTAAATCAGTGACCGTTCAAACTACCATGTAGACTCAGTACAAGTCGACCCGAATATTAGCTGAGGCACCTACTTTTACCACAAAAATGGCATTAAAAGTGTGCTGAAAAACTCGGCGTATACACGAGTATATAGATAAGTCTGAAGTACTCATTTCATAAACCCCCCAAATGCACCATCAACAATCTGGGCTCCGTAGCTATCTCTTTCGAGGGCTGCTTTCGTCTCCACCTACCACTGCAGGCATAGCTATGGGTGTTGCACTGAATGAAAAGGACAGGCGGGAAAGGTAGTGGTGGAGCTTTTGAAAGTCTTGACCTTGCTGTGGAGGTATCTTTATTGGTGAGAGCAAAGTCCTCGAGTGTGCATGACCTTGGCGTGGTTATGGTCATCGGTTGTTACATCAGCTGGGGACTTAGGGAAAAGCACAGTTCTGAACCAGAAGGCAAAACCTTCCAACTCGTTCCACAGGTTTTCTATTAGAACTGGGATCACACCTCCACCCAGGAAGGTTTCTGTAGCCACCGTGAAGGCTCTCGTGTTGGGGCCTCTGCTCTCGTGAGGGGCATCAGAGGGAAGTGACCATGCTTCCCTTCAGTGACTTCCTCTCCTACAGCAGGCCCACCGACGAGAGAGGCATCTTTTACAAAGAGATGGTTTATGAATTTGATTCAACAAGAATCCACGGACGGCCGATAACTGGGGACAGAGGATTCCTCACAGTTCAAGCGGAGCTTCTTTGACTAGGTATCCTGGGGGAGGCTCACTGTTGGTATCTAAGTCCTCGGTGCCTGGTCCATTTTTCATCACAGCACTCATTCAAACACGGGAGCTACCTGGCTTTTAGAAACTCGAACTGTTCCCAGTTGCTAGCCTGCAGAATTCCCACTCCTCCCCAGACCTTCCAGGACAGCAATGACGTGCGAATTGTCTCCGTGAGGTCCTAAAGCTGCTATGCAGGGCAGAAGGGGAGCGAAACCTGCCGGCAGTGTCACCAACAGACGCCCAGACCCACTATCTATAGGCCATTGAAAAGAATCCAGAGCATGTAGCTTTTAATTTTGAAAAATTGATGAGCTTGATGTGGAAAGTAAATAGAATCTTCCTGTGCTTTCCC